GTGTTATGGAAAAAGATAACATTTCCTCAAATTCGTTTCCACTTTAGAAAAAGACATAAAAGGAGGTGTGTGGCGCAGTGGGTTGTGCGTTGGTGTTGGTCGCACGGGGTCACAGGTTCAAACCCCACTGCAGTCAGCATGTCGTTGTGTCCCTGAGACACTTCACCCCAAATTGCTCCTGTCGGGATTGCCCACAGTATTGAGTATGTAAGTCGCTTTGGATAAAAGCGTCTAGTAACAAGTACATGTAATGTAAAAGATATTAGCAATAACAACACATTTGAGCCATAATCATGTTATTCATAACCCAGCCTGACATTTAACTTCAATTGGCTTCACAGCTGTGCAGAGAACAGACACTCGCCTTCTGTCCTCCTCCAGCCATCCTGGAGCTGATGTACTCGGGGCCCAGCTTCTGCCGCAGAGCTCTGTCCACCGCCTGGTGCTCCTCAGCTGTGTAGGTCAACTGACAACACACAAACACAAACAAAGAACACAATCATACAGACCATGACTTCATAAAAGGGTGGGCCCTTAACCCTTATTGATGATTATTAATGATTGATTAAAACCCTGACCAAATGTCGTTAAACTGCATTCAAATTGATTTCATCTATTGAGCTGATACATTTAACAATATTTTGGAAATGGTTTGGAGCAGTGTGTTACAAAATGGGGTACGTTTCTCACAACCAGTTTTTAAGGTCAATAGCTGTTCAAATCCAAACAAACCTTTAAACTTCCTAGAAGAGAGCTGAAGAAGTACTCCTGCAGATTGGTCCATTTCAGAATAATATTAACTGTTTTGATTATAATTATTTATGAATTCATATGTTATCAAAGCTGATAAAGGTGCAGCTAGTTATTTACTTTGTATACTGCAGGGTAGCTTCTTGTGAAATTACTCCAGGTGTAGCTAAAGTCTTATTTAAAGGTGGGGTAGGTAAGTTTGAGAAACCGGCTCGAGATACACTTTTTGTTATATTCCATGGAATGCTCTTAACATCCCGATAGCAATGAACATCTTAAAGAGCCTGTGACAGCATCCCAACAACTGTTGTGCAATGAAATATTGGGCTACTAGTAATCTCGAACCGTCAGTTTAAAAAAGAAAAAGCGATACCGTTCCGTTAAATATCAATAATTTCGAACATCGCGGGAAATTCCTTCGACTCATTTTGAAGTTTTGGGGGAAGCCGGAAGTGACGTCAATGCGGGAACGCTTCACTGTGCAGCGAGAGAGCCAAACACGGACAAAGTGTGTTCTCATGCGTAGAAATGGTGAATTACTGAGTTTAGGCACGTTAATAACGTTTTAATGAAGTTGACTACAGTATATTCATATTTGTCAGTGCTTTCATGTCAATTCGGTGAACATAAACATAAATGATCGTGGTGAAGATGATGATTACATTAGGATTAAAAATCGGTAGTGAGAGCTACTGAATTTCCTCCCGTAGGATGTGATATAAAAACAAATCGATGCTTTTTGTAGTTGTAAACTCAAGTGGATGAAACTACATTTATTAGTGCTTTCATGTCAATTCGGCGAACATATGATACATTAAATGATCGTGAGAATGATGATTAGAAATCGTTTGTTTGTGCCGGTCTGCATTTCCTGATGAGAAAACAAATCGATGCTTTTTGTAGTTGTAGTACACCAACATGGATTAAACGTGTGTTTTTTTTACCACAATGTTGGGGAAATTAATGGATAAAATGCACGGATTATTATTATTATTATTCCCACTCCGATCGGGACACTAGGTCCACCGTTTCCCCGCAGCGAGGCTTCCCCCGTTGACAGTTTACATGGGCTGGGTGCAGTGGCGGACTGGCCATCGGGACGAATCCCGATGGGCCGGTACCGAAGTGGGCCGGTCGGATAAATCACTAGCACATCCCCCATAGGCGGCGCGTGAGGCTCAGGTTTGGGAAGGCTAAATAACTTTTTTTACCTGACGCTGCCCGCCTCCGGCGTCTATAGAAAAGAGATCAACTCAGTGTGCGGAGTTTAAATCTCTCAAGTCATATTACAGGATAAAGGAAATACAGTTTAAACTGCCGTAGGCCTATGCAGAGAAGACGCCGACGTGTCGCACTTATCATTCATATTACATCATCAATCAGATCATCGATCATAATATATCATATATTTCCTTATCTGCCGTGTCTGGCCGTGCAACACTTCCATTACAGTGTCACATATTGTATGCAGAAGTATTATGTTTAGCAACACATTATGTTGACGAAACACTCGAGTCAAATGTAATTAAGTCAGATCCACTCGTGTCTTAGACGTGAACGCGCTCTCAGCTGGTGAGAGAAACCCTGGCTTGATTTACCGAGTTGATAACCAGCGTCGTAGGACCGCTTAGCGAGATCTCGTTTGTTAGTTTGTTGTTGTTAGTTTGTGTGTTACTCAAACATATCCAGGGTCTGTTGAACTGGCTTCGTAGCACAGGGCACAGGTGGCTAGCAGCGCTAATGTCAAAGACACAGACATTGCATTATATTTGTATTTTACCAGGATGCAGTGACACAAATATTTACATAGTTACATTTACTATCTCCAGCACCCGCCGCCCCTGACATCCCCCACTCCCCCCGTTGACAAATTACTAGCGGTACCGAAGTGGGCCGGTCGAGAGTCCCGGGATGATTTTTAGTCCCATTCCACCACTGGCTACATGACCGTATGATCGCCCATATTGACGCACCTAATTCCCAAACTTCTAACAGATACAACATAAACCGATCCTTCAGCCTCATATGAGCTCTCAGACACGTTCAAAATTAAACTCTCATCGCTGTCTGAGCTGGCTGCTGTGTGCACCATCGTGCGTTTACATGCAGATGCTGGGATCCTGAACGGTGCAGCTGGAGCGCTGTGCCCGCAATGACGTCACACATAATTTGGCGGGACTTGAAGAATCCCCGAGAAGATCCAGAAAATGGTCAACATTGAAGGGCAGATTAATGGTTATCAAAGTACAAATATCCAAAATCAGTTCAGTAACGGTTTTCAAGGGGACAATATTTACTCAAATTGATGGGTTTGGATGATGGGGGAAACTCGTGTCACAGGCTCTTTAAGTGCTTTGACAAAAAATCCTTTCAAAAAGTTCATCTGTGGAAGCTGTAGTACTGTAAAAAGCACGACCAATCATTTTAGCCGGCCCGGCTAAAATAACTGGATGGCCTACCTGCCTGTCAGCCTTCCATCTGTGCACAAACTTATCTCGTGCCCTCATTGGTCATGTGCGCGTTCGTGTGTGTTGGAGGAGGGGCTCTGTAAGGAAGTGGCAGATATTTTCCGGCTGTGTATTTTCAAATTCTAGCGCACTCGAGCTGGTTTCTCCAAAATTACCTACCCCACCTTTAAGTGTTGATGATATTTAATATCATTAATCCTAATCTGCAAATCAACTAAATATATTAAATACATGGAGTGGAGTAAAATTACCATATTTGTCTGAATTGTAGTGAAGTAGAGTACAAAGTCACATAATATTTAAATACTCAAGTAAAGGGCAAGTATCTGAAAATGGTACCCAAGTACTTGAGTAAATGTACTTAGTTACTTCCCACCTCTGCTCACGGCGAATACTAAAAAAGTGGCAAAATAATGACAGAGGCACAAAATGACTACAAAAATACCAAAGAAACTACAAAGTGACAACAAAAAACTATGAAAGGTTGTCAGTGCCCATGATCCGCCCCTGCAGCTACGCACCTGTCCGAAGCACCTGGGAGCAGTGCTGCTCCTCTCCCCGGCGTTACTGCTCATGACTGCTGTCCTGTAGTCGCTGAAATAAAGATAAATGGAAACAGGTTCATGTATCTCAATGATAACTGCTGTCATCTCATATAACGCCTTACTCTGAGTAAATTACTCATCTATAATGTCACTTAAACGCTTAAATGAACCTATAGCTAACGTCAAAGGTCTGAAAAACGTAGTTTAACAATGAACAACTCGTACATTTCAGCTGGCTTTTGTTTACATATTACATAAACCATGGTCTTATTCCGTCGTAAATTAGATATCCCATTCATATAAACCCACACTTACCAGTTAAAATTCCGTTAAAAGTGATATTTGTGGTAGAATAAGCTAACCAGAGCGTCTGGATGTGTGCTACATTGAATCAAAACCAAAACACATCTGAACTTCCCGCCCGGACACCAAGGGGAGGGGTTTATGATGCCTTCGCGTACTGTCGGAGAATGTAATATCACAAATAATCGAAACGCTTTTGTATTAATTTTTTCAACGATAATTCCACTCTTTGGCAGATGTGTAAGAAGTACTCTGATAATTTACTTTAGTTCAAGTAGCAATACTACATTGAAAAAGTACTGTTACAAGTCCTGCATTCAAAATTGTAGTCAAGTAAAAGTAATTTTAAAAAAGTAATGGCATTAAAATATACCTTCTAGTGCAAGAAGTACAAATACTTATTTTCCAGTATGGCCCATTTTCGTATAATTAGTTTTAATGAATTAATGTCAATGTTGCACTTGGTAAAGGTGGGGAGTATTTAAATTACTCACTGCTGGGTAGCTTAACCTAAGATAATACATCATGATGTATTGGTTTATTTATATTCTGTATTGTAAATCCATCCCTGCTAAGTAGCTAGAAACAATATTTGTTAAAAAAAATGGCCTACAAAATATAGTGAAGTAAAGTATAAAGTAGCTTAATATAGAAATACTCAAGTGAAGTACAAGTCCCTCAAAATTGTACTCAAGTAGTGCCTGAGTAAATGTACTTAGTTACTTTACAACACTGATATTTGGTCGTCACATTTGGAGCCAATGCTATGGTTGGACTGTGTGTCGAATTCAGTTTTGCTAATATGATGTTATGTTTTATTTGTACACACTTCTTTGAGAGATAAAGCACTTGTATTCTGTCCCTAATGCGTGTTCTGTCTACACAAATGTTGGCATATAGCATAACAAATATGGCAGAAGGAGAGTCACGAGAGTTTGGTTTAGACAGTTTACTGAAATCTTTACAATTTTACAATTTGCTTCAAGTATAAAGCACAAATACATCTTAACTGCTCACAGTAGCTTCAACAGTTTGCTATTTATTTCAAACATAAGTTTAACATGTAAAGTCATTCTAAACAAAGAAAAAAGGTGATAAACTCACAAGTAAAGGCTTCCAAGGCACAACAGGTTGTACACGATTGAGAGTCCTTCTCCCAAGCCACATGAGACAATGTTTGTCACTGTCCAGCCTCTTCCTGTTTACCATCTTTATTCCTGTTTTGCCAAATTCACACCAATCAAATGTGTTACTATGTCCATAGAAAGGTAACTTTCTGCAGTATTGGGTGCAATTGCATGCTATTTGGACTTCTACGAATTAGTTCATGTAAAAAACACACAAGAACTAAATCGAAATTGTCTCACTATGGTACTGCACTTTGTCTTTACAATCCCAGTATACTAATCATTTTATATCTGTCCCTCCACAGCTGCCAGAGCAAAGTGTCTGTATGGTCTGCACAGAGGACGGATCAATGCAGCTGTTCTGTTCTATAAAATGTGTTCAATCTGCTTGTGTTTTTTTTATGTTTTTCTAATTTCTTATTTAGTCCATTCGATTTTACACTTTTTTTGTGTTCTGCTATAGGCTATTTAGATTACTTCATGTAAAATGTTAACATTGCAACCCATCTACACAATAAGATAAACAATTAATGATCTGCTCTAAACCAAAAATTACTACATTTCAAAATGCAAAAAAATGTCGATGTACAATTACTATCAAAACATGGCAAACCTCACTCAAATCTTTTTGATTCAAAATGCAAGAGGAAAGTCAATCCCACCACAACCACTTTCAAAACACCAGCAATTACATTACAAAAGCATAACTTTTCAGTCCAACCTGTAAAGACAATAAGTAATCCATTGTTTTTATAATTGTGTTAGTGTAAACCCCTCTATGTTTTAGTTGCACAAGTCCTGGTTGCCCTTTAAAAAATTATTCAAATCTGCTTCATAAATAAACCTTCTTGCAAAAACCAACATCCTTGAAGATCATCCATTGCTTTGACAGTCACTACTGTGAACTCTCTGCAAAACTAATTTAAAAGTGATATTGTTTGCGAACAGAAATATAAGTAGTAAAGTCAAATGAAGAGAAAATTGAAAGTATGCAAATCTCACTTTTTTCATTTGGTTAAAGAGATGTAACTTCTGCTAAGTGTATGTAATGAAGTTTGTGAACATTTTCCCACAGCAGTTTTAGTTAGATGGTTTCTCCTGTGTATATTGATCCTCAGGTGTGTGTTCAGTGTGGACTTCGTTCATGTGTTTTAACAGACCACTGTTGTGTCTGAATACTCTCCCACATGTTGTGCAAATGAACAGCTTCTCATCTGTGTGGATTCTTGAATGCCTTGTCATTGTTGAACAGTAACTAAATCTTTTTCCACATGTTTGGCAAGTAAATGGCTTCTCACCCGTGTGTCTTCTTATGTGGACTTTTAACTCACTACTACATTTGAATCCTTTGCCACATGTTTCACAAGAATATGGCTTCTCACCTGTGTGGGTTCTACTGTGAATCGTAAAGGATGTTAAGTGACTGAATTGTTTTCCACATGTTTGGCAAGAAAATGGCTTTTCTCCTGTGTGGATTCTTAGATGACTTTTCAATGCGGATATATAATTGAATCCTTTCCCACAGGTCTTGCAATCGTAAGGCTTCTCACCTGAGTGGACTCTCAGGTGGAGGGTTAAGTTACATTTACGTCTGAAGTCTTTCCCACAGGTCTTGCAAGAATAGGGCTTCTCACCTGTGTGGACTCTCAGGTGGATGGTTAAGTCACATTTACCTCTGAAGTCTTTCCCACACATTTTGCAAGAATAGGGCTTCTCACCTGTGTGGACTCTCATGTGACTCTGCAATTTAGACTTGTACTTAAAACCTTTGTCACATATCTCACATTTTAATTTATGCAATATTGACTTAGTTGTGCTGTTAACATTGTAGCTTTGACTTTGAATAATGTTATCTCTCTGGTTTACTTCTGGCTCTGCGTGAGTTGATCCTGAGTCTCCATGATTGCCAACTTTCTGATCTTGGCTCTCAGCTAGTGGAGAGTTGTGAGAGAGGAGCTGATGGTCCCTGTTTGTGTATACAATCCCTTCTTCTGATGGTACATAGCATTGAAGTGGAAACTGCCCAGGAGGATTTTCCTCGCCTTGACTCTGAGTGTCACTGATGCTCAGGTTCAGAGTCTGATCTTCACTGTGATCACTTTCCATACAAGTCGGAGTCAACATAAAGTCATCAGTCTCCTGCTTCAGTACAAGCTGCTCCTCACTGCTGCACAGCTCCTCTTGTTCCTCTTTAATATGTGGAGGTCCTCCACTCTCTGGGTCCTCTTGGTTCACACTGTAGTTTTTCTCCTGAATGCAGAGCTGCTGCTCAGAGAGAACCTCCTCCTCCTTACAGACATGTTGCTGAGGGAGCTCTGGAAGGAGACAAAATACTAAATAATACTTCTGTAAACGTTAGGAAACAAAGGCTACCCCATTAGTTCTGGTATATATTTTTAACAGTTATGTTATACACCGAGAACATCAGTGTTGTGACATTTATGGGGGCGTTTACTCACCTATCCTGTGTAACTTTATTGTGGGTAAGATGTTCAACAGTCTGCGCTGACGATCAATCTCTTCCTCGTACTCGACGATAGTTCTTTCAAAAACTCCTAATATTTCTTCAGCAGCAGCAGTCAGTCTCTCGTTGACAAACTCTCTCAAACTCGGAACTGCAGACATTATTGTTGTTTAGCTTCAACCGAAAACATTTCAGTAATACGACTACAATATGCGTTTGAGCTAATTCTTCTTCTTCTTCTTCTTCTTCTTCTTCTTCTTCCTCGTCTTCTTCGTCTTCTGGTTTAATGGCGGTTGACAAACAGCTATAAATTGCATTTACCGCCACCTTCTGGAATGGAGTGTGGATCAGCACGGTTTTAATCTAAATTCTAGATATTTTCTGTTTACTTCTGTTGTTTCTCCAACTTTCTTTTGAATACTATAAAGATGTCTGCCCTATAACTCATCTGTCCCATTCTTCCTGACATTTCTTTTTGAGTTGGGATTGTATCATGCTTTTAATTTCAGCCTTACTATATTTCACATTCATACTACTTTGTATTTTCCTTGTTGCCAACTTTGCATACTTGTCTAACTCATTTACCTCCACCCCAATGTGTGCAGGGATCCATATGAAGTAAATTATTTGTCCTTCTCTTGATATTCTTTGTAATGTTATTGCTATTTCCAGTATTATATCTTGTCTCTGAATGCAGTTGTTGAATGTTTTTCAATGCACTGCTCAGTGTTGTAGTCGAGTCACCAATTCACGAGTCCAAGTCACTCTCGAGTCACCACTCTTTGAGTCCAAGTCCGAGTCACCTAGGGAGAGTCGTAGTCGAGTTCAAGTACGAGTCACCCAAGGAGTGCCGAGTCGAGTCCGAGTCATCATTACCTGTTTTCGAGTTCGAGTCCAAGTCCGAGTTACCCAACAAGGAGTGTCCGACTCGAGTCCGAGTCATCATTACCTGTGTTCGTGTCCGAGTCCAAGTCACCCAAGAAGAGTCCAAGTCAAGTCCGAGTCACAAGTCTTCATGTATTAATCTTCGTGGATATATGTGTTGAAATGTAGCTGCTCCTCTACATTGCTTTTATCCTGTCATGTTATACTAATGTGTCTATTGAACTGCTGTGAAGCGAGTTACAATTCTTGTAATATGCTATTACTAATATTAATATTATTTTTTTTTAAATTATTGTAAATTACCTTTAATATGTCTAACTATATTTAAAATGAGTTACCTTTTAGAGAAGTGATTATATTTGTATGCCAACATTTTCTTATGGTAAAGTTTTCGTTTTGCACTTTTATTTTGATAGTAATAAGATCAGGACTCTTATTTTGTAGGAACTTTTACCGGAAGTCAATGGACAACGGAGCAGTGCATGACGGATAGATAACGAATAAATTAACATAATACTAAATAGTTGCATTCGGTTTTTAGTACCTGGTTGATAAGGGCACAAGCTCTTACGTTGGTAATTATTGTATACAAGCAAGGGTGTGCAATAAACAGATACTATTATTTCACACACAGTGACGTCACAGCTACCCACAATGCAACGCGTGCCATATATTTTTTTATAAAGACGCCATTTTTCTGGAGGTGCAAAAATCCTGGCGATGCTAATATAAACAGCTAGCTAATGTAGCCAGGCAGAGCGCACTAGGTTTTTTTTCTGAATTAACGACCGAAGAAATCGCTGCATGTCTTCGGATTACATCTCTGGACTTGAGGGGTGTGCTTTAGGTCGTTACCAGCGTAAACTAGAGCTGTGTGGGTTGTTGGATGTACAATGTATGGAATTACGACCCTCAAAAGTGGCCTTCGGTCGATTTTGGCAGCATCTACGTCTATCTTCTGGAAACACCAGGTGAATACCCCACTTGTCACAATAATATTATCATGCCAATGCATATATGTGGTATTTTAGAGTTGACTATATTGATTAAGGAATAGACTATGATATTCTGTATGCACCTCGTGTGAAATGGTTGATACCGGAAGTACGGTGTCGCCCTCGGCCCAAAACCCGTATGTGTGTGTGAAAGAATCAGTTAGAGAGTCTGACCATCATTCAGCCGGGGACGCTACAATTATTATTGTGAATGTTTAAATTCTATTAATAAAGATTAAGCCCCAGAAAGCAAATGACGACATTCTGCATGTTAAAGGGGACCTATCATGCAAAATGCACTTTTGTACGTCTTTTATGCATGAATATGTGTCCCCGGTGTGTCAGGGAACTCACCAAGTGTACAACCCTCTCTTTTCCTCCGTACCCAAATATTTAAAAAAACGGGGCTACAACGAGCGGATACAGATTCCATCCAAGCTGACGTCAGCCCGGAATAGTGGGCGGTGACGCTCCGCCTACATGGGAAACACTCCACCTATCATGGGAATGAGAGGGTGGGCCACGTCCACGGCCATGGGCCAACCCCTCATTGCCATATAGGCTGTCGGCAGGCTGAATCTCCCCGAGTCGCATCTGTGTTATTTGCCAGCATGTAGGCAGTGAAAGGTTGTGCTGTTGTTGGCTGCAAAAATCGGGACAAGGGACTGCATGCAATGCCATCCCTTGGAAAAACAGAATAATCTGTGGCTGGACTTCATTTTCAAGGGGAATGTGCCAGAACACCTCAGCAAATGTCTGCTTGTGTGTTCTAAACATTTTAACTCAGACATGTTTATCAACTTCCCTCAAGTGAAAAGAGGATATGCTTCCAATCTAAAGCTAAAAACTGGATCAATACCAACCATCCGGGACCAGGACACATCCAATTTGGAAGCTGTACGTTTTTCCATGTTAATATTTGCATTCCTTTTTATTTAGCGGTGTTTTTCCTGATAAAGTCATCTCTACTTGTAGCTTGTAGCATGTAGCTTGTAGCATGTAGATTCGCCGTATCAATGTCGCCTCAAACCCAAACAGTAATCGGTTGGGTGTTTATATGTTTTTGTAACATTTCATTTCATTTTGTAAGCTCTGCAGTCTTTTCTATTTAAACTATCAGGCATTTGCTAACCTGTTCAGACATAGGCCTACTGCTGTAATGGCGATCTGTGTGAAGCAGTGGCGGTTCTAGACCAATTTGACTGGGGGGGCCACTGGGGGCCAGTTATTTTCTGAGGGGGGCACAATAAATGCAGGACGAAAAAGAGAACTAGACAGTATGAAGTAATTGCGCATAAGAAAACAATGCAATACAGTTATTGGTATTTGTTTCAGTACACTTATTTATTTCAGATAGATCTTATAGTTATTACTGTTAGCTTCAGCTTAAGTTATAGTGCAATGTTTGCACTAACACCATATTTATATAAAAATAAAGGCAATGAACAGTTACATCTCTACTTTACATAAGGGTGTCTGCACAATCTCACATTACAGCAACAAAATCCTGCGGTTTTTGGCAAACCGAGTACCAGAAAATATACTTTAAATTTTTAAAAAAAAATCATTGTTAGGGGGGCCACAGGGGGGTCAGAGGCCAGTGTTAGGGGGCACTGGCCCCTCCTGCCCCCCCCCCTAGAACCGCCCCTGGTGTGAAGGCTGTAAAGCTACGCCCCTAGCCGATACCACAAGTAGTTATTCTCCTATTTATTAGTATTTTTGATCCTCTAAAATCATATTGAGTAAGTTATAATAACAAACGTAATCGTCTGTAGGTAAGTGCCGTTTTTTCCAGCGTTTTATGTAAAAGCTTTTGTGATTGTAGTCTTAAGAATTATGAAATATCACCGATCTGTGAGCTACGCGAATGAGACGTGATGTGATTCAGCAGTCTTTATTACTTGTTTGCACCGGTTTGCACACATGAATAAACAAATGTGTGTGTGTGTGCACGACTGTTAGGATACAACAGCGTATGTATGTGTGCGCAATTGTTGCAAGAAGGGGGGAAAAACACAACGCTGCACAGCTCCGTTGATGGGACTTGGCTAATTAGCGGCTTGCACTCATTACAGTCTGTCTACTGAGCTCAGCCCCTCTCCAACACATCAGCTTTGCTAAATAGACAGCGTTAGCCCCCATCTTTTGGGATTTCAGATTATAATTATCCAAATAGTATTTTCTCATCCTGAATACTAAATTGAGATGATTTTGTTCTAACTATGTTTCTTCTATACAGGCCAGCACCTCACATACTACCAGCGTAAAACCTGTGATGATAGATTCTGCATGTCAGACTGACCCACCGAAGCGGCTTACTGTATTTTTTATGGGTTCAATTAACCGTTGATTTTGACAATAAAGTTCCGACAGTTTATATAAAAGGTGTCATGATTATTCATGTTTGATGGGTAAAGTAGGACTATATGCTGATTTCAAAAGCAACAGGTTGTGTGTGGACTTTTTTCGTCATCAACAAATGGGTGTGTTATGCCATTGCTTTGCATGCATTGTATATAATATAATAGTAACGCCATGTACAATGACAGAATGAAATGAAAGATTGCATAAAACCATATACACCAGTATTTATTTTCATGAACAATATTAGCATACGTTTTACAAATTTGCATACGCTCGTGCCGGGGCCGTGCCTCGCCCCCCTCTTCTGCAGGGGGGTGTGGTGAGCTGCAGCTCATTTGCATGAAAGCTACGTCACAGAATCAGCCCTTGCAAAAACAGGGCTGGAATAGAGCGAAATGAGGCATTATTAAAATGCATGATCTGTTTGGTATTTAAAAAAAAAAAAATCACAGACATGTTTTATATAGGTAAGCCCTACAATATATTTTTCAAATATAGCATGATAGGTCCACTTTAAGTAGCCATGTGCTTTCGTGTTATCGGCTGAATCTTTATTTATTGATTAGATCACGTTACTCTGATGATAGTGTTCAAGACAACCTATATGTCTGAACCATAGACTGTATATAAAGGTCTGAACCAGTGGCGGATTTAGGATTGTAGGAGATCCGGGGCTTAGCCCAGGAGTTGTTGGGGGGGGGTGCAGGGGTACAGTGCTACCCCTGCCTGGGGGTGGACCAAACATCCTTTAGGGGGGTCGTCGCCTCCTCTTGGGGGGTCCATGCTCCCCCGGGAAGATTTTTTTTTAAATATTGAAGTTGAAAGCATCAATCTGGTGCACTTTGAGAGCAACATTACCCCTACCTTAATAACACCTTAAACGGACAAAAGGCACTGGAGAACACTCATTAACACCCTTTAATGAAGAAAACTAATGCCTTAACTCACTCAAATAGTCGTTTACTTATTAAGGTGAAACGAATGTGCATAGAGTTTTAAAAGATGCGGATAGTCTCACCTTGA